ATTTTGTGATTGAATGACACCTAATTATAATAATTTTGAGAATTCTAGTGAAAATGATTCAACTACTTTTAGAATTATTGATGGTAGCACAAATAGCTTTCCTATTCTTTAATAACTTGATTTTATATATTATTGTAACTAACTAACAAACAACATTGTCACACACGCATAAATAACCCCCCTAATATTTCGATCATACAAAGGATGAGCAAACCAAGTCGAAATCCTCATCGAACTCATCGAAATGTAATTGTTCAATTTTTGGTCCTGTATGTAATGGACTTGAATCTCCCAATACAACCCTTTCATAAATTGAATCATCAAATCTGATATTATGATAGCTTTTGCGAAGTCGATGATCGATCTTCTTAATTTCTTCTCGTGTGTCAAATTTGGTCGACTCTGATTCCTCATTATTCACGTCCATATCCATATCCATATCCATATCTATATCTAGGCAAAGTCGATCAAATTCTTCAATTACGTCTTGGCAATTATCCAGAACTTCAGCTGGTTCCCAACTGTAATAATTTGTTAGCTAACCTTGTATTAATTAGAATATTCTCATTATCATAAACTTACGAGGGCTTTGAGTATCCTTTCCAATAAACGAGAAATTCTGGTCTCCCCTAAATTTATTTTCGTAAAGTTCATTAAGCAACGCTGAAGTTTAACAAAAAAATGTATATATATATATATTATTTGATTAATCAAATACTCTTACATTCGTGTATCTTTTTGAAACAATGTGGTGAACCTCCCAACGTTCATTATCTGCTATTTCTCTCTCTATTCTCTCCCCTGAAACTTCAAGTTCTTGATCATACGGATTTCGAGCCCCTTGCCTGTATGTGCTTCCGCTTGACGACGTCGTATGCCTTGCTGAATAACTTGGTTCGACATATTGTTTATACTTATTAACTATGTGAAATGTAAAAAAAAATAACGCGTTAAAATCGTTCGGCAAGAGTAATTGTTTCTTTAGAGTTATCGTACGATATATACCATAATCGGAATTCATTTTCTTGTTTTATCCGTACGTTTCTGTTTGAAATTGAAATCGACTTTAAGGAATTCCATAAAAAAAAAAAAAAATGGCGCGATCAAAAACTAATGAGTTCATTATTTAAATACACGTGACCAACGAGGTATATAATTTTATTATAATCCAGTATATATAAGTATCATCTCCTCAACAATCAAAAGATATCTCATTATTCTCATTATACATATATATATACATGTATATATATATATTATAATAAATATATATATATATTAAATATTATAATGTTATTTAATTTTTTTCATTTTCTATAAACTATTTCTACTACTTGATACCTCTCCATCATATCTATCTTTATCTATTCGAAGTTTTATTTTTTTTATTGGCCTTTTCTTTTTCTGCAAACATTGCTACGCCAGGTATGATACCAACATTAATATCTGGAAAGACTGATTTATTGCTACCCCCAGGTGTTGAGGGTGCGTTATCACTGATAATCCTATCTGTAACTGTATTATGAATTTTTTCATCATTTTGAATCATAATTCCCGGAAATACAATAGGTTTCTTGATTTTTGAATATTTTTCAACCATGTCAAATTCTCCTTTTAAAGTATCATGACGAAACTTCATCCTGATAAGAGGAACATTCGTTTTATTAATATCTGTTATATTAGTTAATAAAGCGGGATAAATTTTACGTTATGAAATTATTAGTACAAAAATGAATTGTATCAAATAAAATTCTCCAAGATTAGATTGCTCACCATTTCCTTCTGGTCCAGAGTGACAATCACTTCCTAACCAATGTCTCTTGACTGCAATTTCGAATCCACTTTGCACAACTGAATTGCGCGCAAGTTCACACATATCGGAAGCTGATAACTTCCAGATCTTTTAGAATTAGGAGGAAAAGAAAAAATTAACATTAGCTGCAAAATAAATAAATAAAGTTAAAAATAAATATAATTATACCTGAGCGGCGACGCTATATTCTTCAATCAATGGTTCCTTTGTGTAATGAAATTGTAATGGGTCATCTGTACTTAAACTTACATTTAACCCTTTTTTAAAGAAACTCAACAATGGATTTCTCTCATAATTCAAAAATAACGCGTTGTTTGATAGAGGCGACATAGCAATTCCAATTTGTTTAAGATAATAAAGATATTGTAATGCAGGGACTTTGCGTAACAAGATACCATGAGATATGGATTGCGATGTCAGGAAAGCAGAAGTTAAATGATCGGTATCACCGGCTTCACCAGCATGAGGTCGAAGGACAAATGTATCTGATTCACGAGAATATAAAGTGCATTAAACATACGTTGTGCAAAGTTATAAATTTAAAAATCGTATAATAAACACACTTACTAAAGCCTCGGATCTTTCTCCATTGATTTAAACTGATCATATTTGCAAACATGTAATATAAATAATACGAATATGGTGGATTAAGGCTAGTATTCCATTCTTTGGGACATGGATATTTTTTGTGTATACGACGTTCAGCTTTAGATTCATCATCAACACTATCAAATCCTACCACACGTTGAAGGAAAACGTGTAATTCGGGATGAGACCTAGGGTCCTTGGTAACCTCGTACAAAGGTTCGAATATGTCTATTAATAAAAGTTTTTAAAGTCAGAATTATCCTACGAAATTGCAAAAAAAAAAAAAAAAAATAATAATAATAATTATATAAATTATCATAAAAATTACTTTTGATCACACATTCAAAACATTCAACAGTTACTGTTTCCTTGTAGACACTATAAAGTCTTGGTATTTGTATTAACCAACGTACATTTGGTGATATTATTTTATTATCTATGATCCATTTTGCAAGTTTGTCCCATTCAGATTTGGAACTAAATGAAATGTTAAAGACGATTAATATGAATTTATTAACAACTTGTTCATTAAACCCACTGACAATTACCGTCCATAAATAGAAATACGGTATTCTGCCATTTGGTACTTGCTTGCTTCCAAGTCCGAAATCACCTCTATATATATATATAAAAAAAATAAACAGTTGAGATTTGACCGATTTAACCCATTTATAAATCAAAATAATAATTGCCTTTAGTAAGTTCAGCAAAATATCTTCCGTTAATATAATTATTAGTCTTCAGAAATATTTCTCTTAAACGAGATTCTCCGATTGGATTATATTTCAAGTTAAATTTATCAAATCGATGGAACGAATCTGTATGAGCCTTTAAAATAATTGTTTTATAATTAAGAACCATTTAAAAACGTACTTTTCCTATAAATAATATTAACTCACATGCATATCTAAAGTGTCAATGCTGAGCTCATACGCAGACAATTTCAAACTCTTAAAAACTTGTTCGAGGGTAAGCACTTTGTTGTCTCTGAAAATAACCTCATCCTACATATTGTATAATAAAGAAATGTCAATACGATAAAAATCATCGAAAATCTTCCAATAGAAACATACTTTTGGAAATTTTTTTAATTTCGATTTAATGAATCGAAGCAAATGCTTGGAGTTCATACACGAGGACAAATGCACGTGGGTATCAACCTTTCTAACATTATAAAAGTCTCTATGTGGAACGCTCTAAATTAAGTAAAATTAATTAATAGACATAACGATTTTACGTAGATGCAAAGTGTATATAATACATTTATACTCAACCTTTGAATCAGCAATTTCCTGATATTCTCGTAATAATGAATACATGTTCCATTTACTTTCCAAATAACACAATCTCTTATATGCATAACTTTTTGCTGGACCATCGGAGATCGTTTCTAAGATACACTCAAGATCCATAAAATAATCCTTGACACTTGGCACCTCGTAGGCTGAGCGATTATTATCAAGATCTAATTATATATATGTGTGTGTATGTTTATTATTTACAAATTTATTACGGGTGCTTATTGATAATCCATACTATTTACCTTCTTGTGTTTCATAGACATTATAAATACCACTTTCATTTAATTTGAAATTATACTAAAATATTTCAAATTCAATTTTAATAGTAATACTTTAAGCGAAATATCAATAACGATTAATATATATATACCTCATGTTCTCCAGGAATTTCGCATTTATCAAACTCAAAGTTTTCACCAACTCCTTTCTTTTCGTTTTTATAGTATGAAGATGATACTGAATCATCCGAAAATGATCGGTTGTTTGATAATGATTTCCATGTAGGTTGTGGCGGAGGAGGATAAATATTCCAAGTATCATGATCTTTAGGATTATCACCTAACCTTTGCAATGATAATTCCATATATTTGTCACGCAATTCAAGACATTTATGAAAACGAGTATAAAGGTCTTCCAATTCACTCGCAACTTGTTGATCTACGAAAATTCCAATTTATTTTCAATATTGACATATCAAAATCCTAGAATAAAAAGGTCTTAAAATATAACATTGTCATCATATTGAGAAACTTACCGAACACTTCTTCTGGAACCATTAGAGACTTTACATCACAAAAATCAGAAAATAAATGTTCCCGTTGAGATTTTTCAGGTGGAATAATTGGTGCTTTATGAGAGGAACGTCTAGCCCAATAATGAGAATCAACCTTTTTGTTACAACAGCAAAAGTTAAAATGATAAAACATGATTGATTATATTATTTATTTATTAGAAAGAATAAAATTAATAAAAAAAATGAAACTTTTTATGTTATGTAAATATATAATGAATGAAGCAAGACCCAAAAAATACGATATGTATGATGAAACAATTACATCGAATGATTCACACGCGTGACTCGTGATATTTTCAAATTTCTCATTAGCCCATATTAATGTCACGCAATTTAAAAAAGGCATTTTGAATAAAAAGTAAAACTCACACTTTTAATAGCCTTATCAACGTGATATGAGTAATATGGTGTTTTCATTTTACTCAAGTCACCACCACCGATTGGAGTATCTTTAGATGAATCAAAAGACTCCGGTTCTTCGACAAACTGTTGTTTTTCCATGTTTTAACTTGATAAAGTTAACCAAAGGATATAAAATAAAAACTTAAAAAACTTAAACTTTAAATTTATTAAATCATCGAAAATCACGTCGATCTGATCTTACTATATTCGAAATTTTTTAAAATTTTCGTGGGAAAAATGATCATCAATTCACGTCATTTCGAAACCATAATTTCTTTATTCATATTGAAAAAATGGGTGGGGTAGATATTATACAATATTCATGTCTGAAAAAGGCTACATTTTAACCTTATTAATGGTATCGTATGTTCAAATGGCCAAATCTCTGCATTGCATCAAAAAATCACAATTACGATAATTACAATAGTAACTTCCTAATAGTACAAAAATTGGAACGTTTGTTATTGGTCCAAATGATCTAGATAACTAGAACGAACAATAAGAGGCTGAAAGAAGATTATGAAGGAGAAAAGAGGATTTAGAAAAAAAAAAAAGATTTTGTTAGACGAATTTGGAAAGCAACAGGTTGAAAATTACAGGTCAAGTTCATGGAATTAAAATAAGGAAAAAAGAAATAATCAAAGTATGTTGCATTCGAATATGTCAAACCTACACTGCTTTCTCAATTTTTAACTTGTTGCATTTGCATTACCAAACATTATCGGCGCTTCAGGTATACTGACCATTGATATAGTGGCGGCCGGAAAAGGAAGACCACATTCGAACGGCGACCGTATGACCATTCAGAAATTTACTCTAACTTTGTAAAATCTGAAGTCATATTTTGAAAAATTTTGTTATTCGAGGATTTATCTGCTGAAGTAAGTTATTGATATCATTATACTCATTTGATCACTTCGTAATCTCTATTAACAGTGATAAACGTTAGGAAGTATAGAGCATTCTTGATGTAATTCTATATTACATTTCCGTGTTTGAATGATCAAATTAAATCTTTATAAACATTCGACGAAAAACGCTGTTTGATGGACAATTGGCTTCTGGCGGGTGTAAAAATAGTGTATAAATAATTATAATTATTTCTTAATTGCTTTTAAATTAAAATTTTTTTAAAATATTTATATATTGTAATTGTAAATTTTGGTCTATTTTGAAAATCATCAATAATAGTATAATATTTGAATTTTGAATTATACCTTTTGTATTATAAAATTTATTTTATTAATAATTTTTACATGCGTTGCGTTTGTTAATAAAGTGAAACTTAATTTAGCGTAACAATTTGTTTACTTTAGTATTCCTTTGATTCTACCTATCATCCAAATTTTCGTTCATTAACCCTTGATTGAAATTTTTTATGTCATTCTTAAATATTAATTCTACCCCCTCCTTTATCTGTATTGTAAATTATGGTGATAATGATTTCGATGACGATGGTGATAGTTTTACTAGGGTATTTAATGTATTTTTGTGCATTTCATAAATATATTTTGATTGTTCATGATTAAATTTTGTTTGATCAGAACAATTTTACATATCTTTAACAATCATTCCTATTCGCTTCAACAATAAGTTCATAGCAACAAGCAGTAACTAATTACCCCATGGGTGAAATGCAGCGGCTAGAGTTTACATGATCATCCCCAAGCTATGTCATAAGCTTTTGTTGATGGAAGGAGTCCACATGATCATACTCCATTTGATCATAGATATCGCTGGCTTTTGTTGGGATGGATCCCCAAGCAATATATCAGAAGCTTTTATTGGATGGGATCCCCAAGCTATATATATAAGTTGATGGAAAAGTCCACATGATCAAACTCCATTTTATCATCCTCATGCAATAGATATTGCTAGCTTTTGTTGGAGATGGGATCCAAGCAATATATCAGAAGCTTTTGTTGATGGATCCTCAAGCTATGTATATCAGAAGCTTTTGTTACCGGAAGACATCCAATCATTGCAAACAAGAAATGCTGATGAATTCAACTTAAAGCGCATACACAGATGACTCATGGTTAGCGTTGAAGGTTTCTTGACGAAAATGTGTTGTTGAATGGACAGATTCTTTATGAAATGAAGCACTTAATATACATATAGCAATAAATAACTATCTACTTTAATGGTAATACTCCAACTACTATTTAGAATTAGGAACATCACTCTCATATAAGTCAATTTCAAATCTACATATTTGGATAAGAATGATGCTACGAGAATAGACGCGGCACATTCGATTAAAATCCTCTATTATGAAACTGTTCTTTAATTTCTTCTGCGAGAAGGAATTTCACATCATCATCATCCTTAAAGCAAATAAAAAAATGTTAATAATATAATAAATAATTAATCACAAAATCTAACAGACCAATATAAGTAAATGTGAGCTTCACCTTGAGAAGCTATCTGGGATTTATAACGAAGGATCCCCCCAAGGATATCTGATTCTCGTTAAAGAATTTAAAGATAGTTCGAGTTTTAGTGTATCACTGCCAACTAAAGAGTGATACTTTGTACCTCCCATCATAACTGTGAACTCAAGATAAAAGCAGCAGAGACTGATAAGACCTTTTGTACACAAGGGTGAAAGAGTAGATATTCGCAGCAATATTACTGTTAAAATTATTTTTATATGCGGCTATGACAATCTATACTAGAATGCTATTGTTATGCAACAAAACAGGATTGAAAAAAATATCAATTTGAGATGATTAATGAAGGATTTCTGGTATTCTGCGGTCCTTAAGCCTAAAAGTTAATTTCAGAAAACAAGAAAAAGTTCCCCTTAAAAATTTAGATTTCCTCTTAAATTTTATTGGTTAATATATAAATCACATGATTACAAATTTATTTTGAGAAAACTTCATTTATTGTTAGGGATGGGCGTTAATTAACCTGGTTAATTAACCGCGGTTAATTAACCGTTAATTAACCGTTAATTAACCGAGGGA